TCCCCAACCCCCTTATAAGAACTTCCTCAGCAGTCAGCAGGCTGCTGGCTGCCTTTCTCTCCCCAGCTGAGCTGCCAGCCACCAGCAATCCTAAGAAATAAACTTTGCTTTACTGGAGTCCTATGTTTCCTGTGGCTAGTCCCTGCCCAGCTTTTATCTAACAGGCCCCATTTCAAAATTCTTTTTATCAATCTAAAGTCAACTCAAACAGCAATTTTTTTAATTGTAAACGTACTTCATTTTTATTTTTTAATTTTTTTATCGAGCTTCTGTATTCTCATATAACAGTTCTCAATCAAACCCAGACCCCTCTCCCATGCTCCCACCAGACCCCATGCACTCCACCACAGATGGTAAGCCCTATCTAGTCAAGCATTTGCACCCAGATGCCCTTTAATGTAAATTTGTCCGCTGGAGTCCAGTCAGTCCATCCAGAGATCGTGTACAAAGCATACTCTGCCCCACCCAGCAGCAACCAGCCTCCAACAGCTCTCAGTCTGGGGCCAGCCCACCACCCATCTCTCTCCTCCCCTCTGGACCCTTGTTCAATTGAGTTGGCATGGGTGCTCGATGCCACCATTGCCACAGGTTCACATGTGCAAACTTCAGTGGGCTGAAAGCCTCTGCTTCCCTGTGTTCATGAACCAGCCCAGGCTCTTACAATCTTTCCACCCCCTCTCTTCCAAAATGGTCCCTGAGTCGTGGGTGGGTGAGGTCAATGTAGGAGTCCTATCCAGGGATATACACTCTGTAGTCTCTTTAAAACTTGGGCAGTTGTGGCTTTCCTTGTGCATCACACTCTGCTGTACAAGGAAACATTACTGGTAAGAGTTGAAGGATGCATTAGTTTTCTCTCTGCCCCTTGTTCTGCTCTGTTCCATGAGCCTTAGTTGTAGAGGTTCACTTGTAGATGTGTCACCTAGTCTAGTTTAGTCTTTTATTTTTATTATTTTTATTTTTTTTCAAGACAGACTGCTTGTATGCCAGGATGCTAGAACTCACTATTTAGCCCAGGTTGGCTTCTAACCCCTGGTGGCACTTCAGCATCCCAAAAGTGCTGGTATTGTTAAAGGGCATGAACTGCCATGTCTAGCTGAGTTTTTCCCTATGGTACCTTGCTATTCTTGGGATGGTGAGTTGGGTCATTTAACCCTCCCAGTGACATAGTTCATCTCCAAAATAGATTATGGATTATCAGCATCTTGTCTATAGTCCTAGAGGTGGGATCTGTATAGTTGTGAATTAACTTCTGTTCATTTTATAAAAACAGAATCAAAGGGCAAGTGTAGCTGTGCTGTATTAAATTTGTGGATTAGGTTAATTTAACTTCATGAGTTAGGAATTTGTAGAATCACTCACAGTCTCCAAGAATGCTGAGTTACTGGCAGTGGGGAGCTGGAGCCCACCTTTATGGGCTTTAAAAAAGCTCCTATACACATCTCTTCCTGTCTCTCTATTCAGTGAAATTAGGTTGGAATCTTGAAATGGGCCTTGGAAAGAGGGTTGTACTACAGAAATGAGTAAATCCTGCAGTCCAAGGCTTTTGCTCCCAGGGAGCTGATTGTTACCATAAATCGGTACGTCTTGGTTACTATACTGTGTTCAACTAGTGGAAGCTTGGTGGCAGGTTTGCTGGCTCTGATTTTTCAGATTTGTCATCATTCAAGACCCATTTAAGAGCACCGTTAGAGTATATACAGCAATGCACTACATAACAATGTTTCCTCAACAGCATACATGACAGGGGTCCCATAAGATTATATTGTTTAGGAATGTCATACTGTGTTCATTTGTGTAAGTAACACAGGCCTATGCAGTTTGCGTGGTGATGAAATCATCCAACAACACATTTCTCAGAAATATCCTTATAATTAAGCATACATGACTGTTTCATTATTCAGCTTTTTGTTACTAGAATAAATTGCCATAGGCGGTCTACCTTTAAGAAGGAAAGAGATTTAGCCTGGCATAGTGCATGCCTCTAATTCTAGTACCTGGGTGGGAGAGGCTAGATGATCTGGAGTTCAAGGCCATCTAGAATAGACCCTGTCTTTCAAAAACAAAAACAAAGCAAGAAAGAAGGACAGGAAGGAGATGGGGAGGCAGGGAGGGAAGGAGGGCTGGCTTGTAGTTTTGTACCTTGAACATTTTTTTTAAAAAATCTTTTTAGACTGGGTCTTACTTTGTAATTCAGGCTGGCCTGGAATTCAAAATTCTCCTGTCTCATCCTCCCCAGTGGTGGTATCAGCCACCATTGCCTGACTTTAAATCTTATATTTGGAGGTTAAAAGTCCAACACAGACACTGGCTGTGGAGAGGACTCCCTTGGCAAATGGTGGGAATGTGTGCAAAGAGAAGGGATCACATTTCAAAACAGAGAGAACTCAGTGTACTGCATGGGAGAAGTGTGCTCATCTTAGTGTACCCCCCACCCCATTCCCCCAGACTTGCGCTTCAGAATCTTCTATCACATTTCCCACATGCCCCCTCTGGGAACCATGTTCAAGCACATAGACCCTTGAAAAGCAAACAGCAGCAAAACCGTAGCAGCCATATATAAAATTGGTAAGATAGAATAAAATACAGGTTTGTTTTGTGGATCTACAATATACAAACAAAAAAATACCCAATTAGCTGCATAGCATAGAAAAATTGAAAGATTTCACATAAATGTCTGAATTTCTGGGTCTTGAAAAATAAGATCCTCTTGCCACACTGGGGCCCCATCACCACGTGGCAGCAATGGGCCGCAGGTGAGCTGTAAATCTGAACAAACTTGTTCACACAGTCGCTCCATTCCAGTACCTTCAATGACTTTCTTTATTTTCTTACCACCTCCTTTGGTATTTGAGTTTGTGATTCCCTTGTATAAGGAAACCTCAGCCCCGGGAAAGCGTATCTCCTTAGCTGGAATCTTAACAACCTGTTTAAAAATCTGCAGCGTTAATCCAGGCATACAAACAAACCGCAAAATACAGGGATAAATTCACAATTCATCCTGAATTTCAGATGATCATTTTGAAAATTCCCATATCAGTTTATTATCTGAATCTTTTTTCCTAAGGGTCTCTACAAAAATGACTATTTTGTCTGGGGCTTCATGACATTATGCTCCAAATATCTATCCCTTAACACAATGTATAGGAGAGATGTGTGTTTGCTGCTAGCACTATATGTGGAAAAAATCATTTTGAAGGGGAAGGTAACACTGTTTCCTTCCAGATCAAGGTTATGTGTGCTTAGTTTGTTTATCTTGACAGATTTTTCTTTTTCCCCAGGGTAGTTTCAGGGCAACCAGCTGGACACATTTTCTCTGTCCTTGTTTATAATGTTGGTTCTGTGTGTGGCTGTCAATAATGTTGATGAACCTCTGATTAATTTTTAAGCAGGTTAATCTATGGTTCCGAGACTGGCTGATGAAATCACCACTTTTCAGTTTGAAGTGACCTATGAGGTGATAACTTTCCCTGTTCATTTAATAATAAATGTTTATTAAGCAGTAATTAGGGACAGGCCTTTAGCATGGTGCTAAGGCATACCGATGAAGGCGAAAACAAGCCTCCACCTCCAGCCTCACAGGTGTTGTGTCTGTATGGTTGAATTTCATGTTGGTGACTATTAAGTGTTTCTTTGTTTTTAATTTGGGCATTACTGGGGAATGAACCAAGGGTTTCACACATGCTGTGCAAGCTCCCTACCACTGAGTTACATCTCCAGTCCTTTGTTTTGTTTTGTTTTATCCAGGAAAAATAATCACCAACCTGGACTTCAGAGATAGTGATGTGAGGAATTAAGCTTTTGAGGATGCAGAATGACTGCTAGCTTCCAAGGCTAGCCCATGGCTAGCTCTATCCCTTTTTTCTTTTTTTTCCCCTTACTTAAGAGAGGCAGAGACTTGTTTGAATGTTCTTATTCACCTCTCTCCCCCCCATAACCCTCCCTGACAGTTCCTTTCCTGCTCACCTCTTGCTGGTCCCCTTCCTCTCTCCAAATAGTATCTCTTTCTGCTTTTAGGACTCATTTATTCCATTACCTTTTTTTTTTTTTTCTAAGAATGGGAGTCATAAGGTCATCATGGCAGCACTATGCCAGTGGCTGTAAATATTTACATTTCACAAATGCAAAAACTGAGATTTGAGAAGCTAAACAAGTCATCCTGGATCCCCTCAGTTAAGTGAGTTTTAGAGCTAGAGTCTAAATCCAGGTCTCCCTGTTCCAGAACCCAAGTCTGGGAAAAGGCTTTGTGGGCTGAGTAGATTCTGGTCCCCCTCCAGCTTTTTGGACACTTGTGTCCTGTCAAGGATATGCAGGATTCTCACTGGCTTCTGAATCTTCTCATTTGACTAACCACTCTTGACTGCACTTTTCTGATTATTGTAACAAATTACCACAGATTTGGTTGCTTACACCTACAGAGATTGTTTCAGTCATAGTTCTTGAGGCCAGTGGTCCTCAATGCATTGACAGGGTCACAATTCTGTAGAGGCTATGGGAACACTATACCATGTGCCTCTTCCAGCGTCTGGTTGCTGTTGCCATTCCTTAGACCTTGGTGCGGACTGCACTCAGATCTCTGCCTTCATCATCATAAGGCCTAACCCTCTGAGCCTTCCACATCTTCCCCATGTGTCCCCTGTCATTGGATATAGAGTCCATCCAGATGATCTAGGATGATTTCTTCAAGATCTTTAATTATATCTGCAAAGATCCTTTTTGCACATCAAGTCACATTCACAGGTCCTAAGAGTTAAGACAAGGACAAGGGCCACCTTTCAGGCCACCAACTACACATTCCATTGGGTACTTTCCCATCAGCCAGCAAGCTCCTGCCCTTTTAGCACAGCGATTATTCTGGTGGATTGACTGCTCCTGAGCACAGCTTCACAGCTTAAGGTTCCCAAGGTTTCCTTGCCTTGAAAATGAATCTTACATTCAGCGCCTACCTCTGGGCTCCTCACGATGTGGTCTCTGACATCTAATAGGGTTTTGTTCTCTTGTAGATTGCGGACCTGCAGCTGCATAAACTGGACGAACTGGACTGTCTGATTCAGGGCCTGCTTTACGTCGACTCAGTTGGCTTCAACGGCAAGCCGGAATGTTACTATTTTGAAAACCCCACAAATCCTGAGTTGTGTCAAAAAAAGCCATACTGCCTTGATAACCCATACCCTATGTTGCTGGTTAACATGGGCTCAGGTGTCAGTATTCTAGCAGTGTACTCCAAGGACAACTACAAAAGAGTTACGGGGACCAGGTAAACATGTATTCCACTAGGAGAACCTCTTTGTGCTTAAACCCATACCTAATTCTTGATGAACAGTATATAGCAAAAGTTATTTATATTGAACATATTTTTTTAAAGATATATCTTGGGCTTCTATACCAACTAAAATAGGTTTAATTGGATGATATATTTGTTTTGGTTTGGTTTTGAAATAGGGTCTTGCCATGTAGTCTAGGCTATCCTAGACCTCACTGTGTAAGGCCAGGTTAGCCTCAAATTCATAATCCTGCCTCAGTCTACTGAATTCTGGGACTATAGTCAGCATGATCTTATTGGGTCCTATGTTAAAGGAATAAGAGGCTGATTCATATAAAGGTAAATAACCTGTAGTCCTTGCCTTCCGGCATGGATCACGATCAGATTGAGGGAAGGAGGGTGGCATACATCAGCATTTGCCAAGGAGGTAGTGTGTATTGAGAGCCAACAGAAGAGCAAAGTCACGAGGCCCAGTGGAAGCCAGGAAGGAGGGACTTGGGATGGCCAAAAAAAAAGGCTTCAGAGAAACTGCCTTTTGGAACCTTCTTGGTACCTAGCAGAGGACTGATGATTTAAAATCATACCCCATTCCAGCCAGAAAAACTAAGATTTACAAAGAATGTTTTTTCTTCTCAGGTAAGTGAGGAGCAAATAATCAGCCCATAGGATGTTTGGATGCAGGGCGGAGAAGCACAGTTCTGTGACCACAGGTGGTCAGAGTGCCTTGTTTCTTAGTATACATGCACCCCCAGGGCCCACAGGCTCAGCTTCCTGTTTATGGGGCAAACAGGCTCAGCTTCCTGTTTATGAGGAATTCAGCATGACAAAAACATTTGTTGTCAGATGTCTTTGAGAACCCCTAGTGTGAGCAAGATTAAACTGATTCAGTATGAAGCCTTCCTCCACCTGACTGGACCAGAGAGCCCATATTTAGAAGGACAACTTAAAGGACTACTGCTGTGCAGAATGTGTCTTGGGATATGGCATTGAGACCGTTGTTTGTGATAGATGAAGACTGCACATACTTCTCTGAACCTCAGCATCCTGCTTTCTGCCATGAAGGCTACTGTTGCTCGATTGTTTCTGTAGGCATGGCCTGCACTGAAAATTCTGCAGTATTCTTCATACATAGGAGGAAAGTTCTGCTTTTTCAGTGTGTTTTCATGACCCGTGAGGGAGCTGCATAAATCAGTTTCCTGACTCCTCTGAGTAAGGAAATTTGTAGGTTCCCCCAGGACATCTTATGTAATATCTTGAAGTCATTTTTAGTTCTTACTGTTGGAGGTGGGACACTACTGGCATCTAGAGTCAGGGATAGTGATAAAATTCTGTAATGCACATGGCAGCTTCTCCAACAGCAAAAAAATATGTCAAATCCCAAGTATCATTAGTGCTGCTGTTGAAAAACCCTGGAGCAAACACATACTCTGACCGAAGCCTGCTTTGGTTCAGAATGCAGGCTCTGTTGTATCAGTAAATTACTACTAGGCACACATCTTATCTCATTTTGAAATATTTATACTATTTTCTTTTATTTCATTTGAGGCAGGGTTTCATTATGTTACCCTGGCTAGCCTGGAACTCACTATGCAGACCAGGCTGGTCTTATACTCAGAGATCCGCCTCCCTCTGCCTCCTACGTACTGGGAGTAAAGGCATGTGCCATCATGCCCAGCATGGTGCGCATCTTTTCATCGAGAATACAGCAGCTTGTTTGCTTACCCAAGAATCAACACTGATCCTTTGGTCTCATTAGGACTTTCAGAAGTAGCAAGACAGAAATGCCCAGCTAAGCAGGTTTTACTTTAGAGAGTGATTTCCTGACAAAGTTAAAAGTTTTAAAATAACTACAAGCTTCCTTCTAGGAGTAAAATGAATTGGTGAAGCTACTCTCAAACTAACAAGTTTAACAGTTTCTACAAGTAGAGGTACTTTTCTTGATGAACACAATAATTTAATGAATTATATCACATATACATTCTCAGATATGGAGACTTCAGGATCTGGGTCATCTTGAAAAGCTGCTAAGGAGCTAATTGTGGGGAATGGCTTCTTCCCACGTGCAATAATGTCTATAAACTCTAGGTGTTGGTGATGATCAGTGTTCTGCAATCATCAACAAATCCTATCTGGATGACCAAGTTTTGCCATAAATTCTCTCTTCAACTAGTGATTTAGAGACATGTTAATAGCTTTTCACAGGTTGCCACAGGAATGGAGGGACTAAAATTTAATTTGTAGGGAATTTCAATCCTGTCAATCAGTTTCTTTATTTCAATCAAGTGTTTTGCCTGCATGTATGTAAGTGTACC